GTGCAGGACGTTTCTGTCTCATCTTATGTTTACATTAACTCAGATAACGGAAGCATCTACAGCATGCACTCGTTTGACTATGAGAAACTGAAGGTGTTTCAGATTCAGGTTCAGGCAAAGGATCAGGGCTCTCCGTCTCTCAGCAGCAACGCCACTGTCCATGTTTTTATCCTGGACCAGAACGACAACGCCCCCGCTGTTATTTACCCCTCCTCCGCTGCCATGGGCTCCCTCTCTCATCAGAGGATGTCCCGCTCCGCTAAAGCGGGTCACCTGGTTACTAAAGTGACGGCCGTGGACGCTGACTCGGGCCATAACGCCTGGATCTCCTACAAACTGGCGGAGGCCACAGACATGTCTCTGTTCACTGTCAATCTGTACACAGGGGAGGTGAGGACTAAACGCGCTGTGTCCGAGCAGGACGACTCCTCTCAGAGGCTGCTTATAGAGATCAAGGACGACGGGGAACCGGTCCAGTCCGCCACCGTCACGGTGTCCATCCTGCTGGAGGACGGCCTCCATGAGCCCATCTTAGACCTCCGACAGAAAGTGACCGAGCCCATCAAGAAAACTGGGAGAATCACCCTTTATTTGATTCTCTCTCTGGCCTCGGTGTCCGTGCTGTCTCTGGTGACTTTTCTCATCTTAGCGGTTAAATGCATGAGGAACAGCAGAAGCAGCGGTAGTTGCTGCATGACACGGACCGACTGTGATAATTACAAGAACCCCAAAAGAAACCTGCAGATTCAGCTCAACACTGATGGACCTATAAAGTACGTGGAGGTCCTGGGAGGAGACATGTTGTCTCAGAGTCAGTCCTTCAGGTCCTGTATGTCTCCAATGTCTCCAATGTCAGAGTACAGTGACTTCACTTTGATTAAACCCAGCAGCACCACTGACTTTAATGAGGTGATCAGTGTTCTGGATGCGTCTTTACCCGACAGCACCTGGACCTTTGAGAGCCAGCAGGTGAGCAAAAAACAACCATAGATCGTAATAATTAAGAAAAATCTCACATTTTCGTTAGTTATTTAGTACAGGAAATATTATATCATAGCATAGTCTGTAATGGAAGTCAACTGTGGAAACGTAAATCATGTATGCATGTATCTGGCTGGCTGGATGGTCGTTTTACAACAGGCTATGTGTTGGTTGGTCTGCCTGTGTTCCCTCTCCCTTCTCTTTGCATTTCACTAGGGGGTTTTCATTATACATTTTCGCAGTGTCCAATGTGGGTAAATCAAAGTAATGTGCAATAAATGTATTTAGATACGGTTGTGTTAATGCATATATCAAGTTTGGTTTACACGTACGTTTAAACATTTCAGCACCACGAGAACGGACAGCGAATGTGAACTACAGACTAGATCATTCAACGTCGGAACCGAGTTAATTAATTCATTCTACAATTATATTGACAAGAGATAAATGTTAAATAGGTATTGCATTTTTACAGTTTTTCTGTGACACACAACGTAATGCTAAATTTCGTGTGAGATACTGACTGCAAGGAGGTTTTCATACAAGGTTGTCTTATATTATCTATATTCAGTGATATTTGTCATAATCACCTCAGATGAAAGCTCACAAAGAGAATAGATGCTGCCACTTTAAGAGTGACGATCAGTTCCCCTCTCATTGGATGGTGGAAGAGGATGCTGTGCACCAATAGGATTTAGAACTGTACAAAGCAATCTAGTCCCTGCCCCCATGCAGCCTCAGCGCTGTAACTCTTAGAATGCAAAGAGCTCGTGGAGAGACAGCAATGAGCTTGTATTTTCTAAGATGTAATCATTGATTTAAGCTTAAAGTCATGCTCAAACATTGTGGCATTTTTCTGTTGAGGTATTCCCTATTATCATGGATTACATTGTTATAAACAAGATCTCGATTGGATATAATGTGTTATAGCGGACCAAGGATGACAAAGACAATAGGATACCGAGACTGGAGATGGCTTGCGCTTTGGTGGCATCATTTCTTTCTTTTGTGGAGTACAATAAACGGACAGACTCGTTATAGCATCCCGGAGGAACTGAAACAGGGCTCTGTGGTAGGAAATCTAGCCAAAGATCTTGGTTTGGGATTATCAGACATTTTTGACCGTAAAATGCATGTCGCCTCTGAGGCTGGTAAGCAGTATTTCAGTGTGGATGCGGGGAAGGGCGAGCTGGTGGTGAATGACAGAATAGACAGAGAGACTCTATGTGGACAAAGCGCCAGCTGTGTTCTACCTCTGCAAGTAGTTGTTGAAAATCCTTTGCGGTCTCATCGAATTGAAGTGGAAATAAGAGACATAAATGACAATTCTCCTAGTTTCCTTACACAGGAAATTAATCTTAAAATACCTGAATCAGTTGCACTAGGCAAACGTTTTCCGTTGGAGAGCGCGGAGGACCCTGACGTTGGAAGCAATTCTTTGAAAACGTACTCACTGAGCAAAAACGAATATTTTTCTCTAAAATTTAAAGACACAAAAAATGTTAACGCTGTCCCAGAATTGGTGTTAGAAAAGCCATTAGACCGAGAAAAGAATGCTCTCCATCAACTGCTGTTGACAGCGTTAGATGGGGGAAACCCAGTCAAATCGGGAACCTGTAAGATTATTGTTAACGTACTTGATACCAACGACAATTTTCCAATATTTAACGAAAATGAGTACAAAGTGTCTTTAAAGGAGAACAGCACCAAAGGAACGTTTGTAATCAAACTAACAGCTACAGATGCCGATGACGGTCTTAATGGTGAAGTTACATATTATTTTGGATCCCGCACTCCAGACTCTGTGTTATCAACGTTTGAAATCAATGATATAACAGGACAAATAGTATTAAAGGGAGAACTAGATTACGAGAGTTCTAAATCATACCTTATCGATATCACTGCTAAAGACAAAGGGGCTCCGGAAATGGAGGGTAACTGTCGTGTACAACTGGACGTAGAGGATATAAATGACAATGCTCCAGAAATTGTACTAACTTCAAAACCCAGTCCTGTACGTGAAGACGCACCAAGTGGCACAGTAGTGGCTTTGATCAGTGCACGAGACCTTGACTCCGCTGATAACGGTAAAGTGACGTTACAGCTTCCCACACGGTCTCCTTTCACTCTCAAACCATCGTTCTCTAATAATTACGAACTGGTTACTAGTGGTCCTTTAGACCGAGAGAGGTTCTCAGAGTATACTATTGAGATAACAGCCACCGATTCAGGCTCTCCTCCTCTATCCAGTAAGAAAATCATACCTGTCAGCATCACTGATGTGAATGACAACCCCCCTATATTTACTCAGACCTCCTATAATGTGTATTTAAAAGAGAATGGGGTACCAGGCTCTATACTGTACTCAGTATCAGCATCTGATCTGGACTTTGGTGAAAACGCCAAAGTCTCTTACTCTATACTGGACTCTAAAGTGCAGGACGTTTCTGTCTCATCTTATGTTTACATTAACTCAGATAA